TCTTATCTCAAAACAAAAAATAAGACAAGAGCTAGGGATGTAGCTCATTCTAAAGGCTCTGGGTTCAACCCTCAGTACTGGGGAGAAAATATAACCCCAATCTAGTGAGAACTCATTAGAGGTTAACTGAAGAGACATTCTCCAAAACAATGAACTAGCACTCCTCAAAAGCCTCAAGGTCATGAAAGATGACGGAACACACCGGAAGGGACTGAGGAGAGGGCGATGACTAAATACAACGGAAGACCCTACACACAGCCTGGAACAGAACGAGGACGTCACTGGCAAACCAGTGAAACCCAGCACACGCCTGCTCCAGAGCGGACAGCACAGGGTCGAAGCCCCACCTCGCTGCTGAGAATGCCCTGGAGCCAGCACTGGGGGAAGCCGGGCGAAGGGACCTGAGGGCTCCGCACCCTTCCTGCAGCTTTTCTCTTCCTTTCAGATTACTTCAAAACAAAAGATGTTTTTAAAAACAAAAACCTTTTAATGATTTTAAAATTTGCCACTGCACATGGTAATTTGCCACTGCACATAGCGGGAATCTTTGATAACAGACAAGAGGAATACCACGCAAATACTCCGGAGACTAAGCCGCAGGAGCCAGCGGAGAACAGAAGCGCAGATGGAGGCGGATGCAAAGTTCTCCCCCAAGAAGGCCGGCTCTGTGGGCCTCCCCTCTGCATGCTGAGCACGTCCCCGCAAGAAGGCAGCACACAGACCGCTGGCCTCCACACCAGACTGCCGACAAAGCGGCGCACAGCGGACCCGCCGAAGTGCTCTGAGAACTCTACGATGGTCAGGCAGGTGAACGGTCCATAAAGCAGAGGACCGGAAGATAATGCGCACTACTCTACCAGCGCTTTACCCCGCATTTCCCTACCTGGTAGAGCAGGTTCCTGTACTACTACCTCTTTAGAACGGTCCTCCTTACACCTGGTCTCCTCCTTGATTTGCAGCTTGTTCACGAGTGTCAATCAGTCAGATAGAAAGCTTCACCTGACCATTACTGTTTGTCCCCCCGCTGAGCACTTTTATGACACACTTTCTAGCACAACAACTTTATTTTGTTTTTGTGTTTTGAGACAGGGTCTCGCTCTGTAGCCCTGTCTGGCCTCAAACTCATGGAGATCCTCCTGCCTCAGCCTCCCTAGTGCTGGGATTACAGGTGTGTGCCACCATGCCCCGCTAGCAGAACAACTTTGGTTTCTTTTACCAATTTTACTAGAAAACCTCCAGTTTAAAAAAAAATTCTGCTAATGAAGCAATATAAAATGCCTCTGCTTTTAGCCTTGAACTGATCTCTAAAGAATTTGAGGCTTGTCAATCAAGTGCCAGGTGAGGGGTCACGAAGCTGTGACCTTCAGCCTGGCCTCAACAGCCAAGCAGGGCAAAACCTGTGTGCGTGGGACCTCAGAAGACAAGCAACTGGATGCACAGGCTGCAGCCAGGGAGGGGCCGGATGGAGATCGAACCTGTGAGCAGTCACATGGGGGCGGTATGTTCAAACACGGGACTTGACTACCCGGGTTTAGAGAAGGGCTGGGGTGAAGCCTGGGTCGCTCCACCATCTCAGAGGACTAGAAGAAGAGAAACCAGCAGGGAAGGGGCAGGGAAAAGTCAGGCAGAGCATGACGTGCCAGGGCAGGATGTGAAGGAAGCACTGGAGAATCAGGGTGCATTCAAATGTGTCAAGTGCTTCTCAAAGACAAGGTGAGGACTGAGGGATTTTATCAGGTTGGACAAAGGGTGTATCTGTCAGTTTAGGCGAAAGGTGTGCTGGTGCAGCAGGCAGCAATGACAGGTCTGAGGCGTGCGACCGAGAGAAACGACTGCTCCCCACACACGCCAAGCGAGGCTGCCACCACCTCGGGCCCTGGCGGCTGTGACCTGGCCTGTGTCACGGTCCTGCTGCAGACCTCTGGATCACCTGCGCGTCCCCGTGACGTCTCCCGGAGAGAAGCACCTTTCCCTACGAGGTACCGCCACCTTCCCGCCTTCGTAACAGCGCTCATCAGTGCTTGCAATTCCATGATTTCATTTATTCGTTTACCTGCTGGTCCCCCTTCGTAAGAAGGTGGTAAATCCAGAAACACCGAGAGCAGGGCGGGGGAAAGGAGAATGAAAGAGATCAGTGTGTGTGCGCCAGTTCCTCAGTTACTGCGTACCACAAATTTTATTAACGCGCTAATAAAAAGAGAAATCTGCACGCGCTTTTGAAGCAGTGCACATTTAAGCAGTGCACAGTTACCGCGTACCACAAATTTTATTAACGTGCTAATAAAAAGAGAAATCTGCACGTGCTTTTGAAGCAGTGCACATTTGTCTAGGCCCATCTTTCCTAGAAAACCCACGGAGGTATTTATAACCTCACTCCTGCTTTCTCACACAGTGGGAAGATTTCAATACAGAAACTAAAAAGGCCCATAACCTGGCAAATCTCCCTTCGCTGCTTTTTTGCCAAAAAATTCTATTGTCCTCTGTTTTCTGGTTATAATCCATCACGCGGCTTTTCTCACAGGACATTTGTCACCTTCATTTTACATTACAAGAAAACAGTGCTCATAAAATTAATGGTAATTATAATTCTCTTCCACTTTTTTTCTTTCTTCTTACTTTTGGCTGCAGTACCAGGGATGGAATCTGGGGCCCTCACACTGGCTATGTTCCCAGACCTCCCTCAACCCCCTTTTAAAGGGCCTTGCCAAGTCATTAAAATGCTCACGATGGGCTCAAACTTGCCATCCTCCTGCCTCAGCCTCCCGGACTACTAGGATTACAGATGAGCTTTAGGAGATTTTAAATTAAGAGATAATGTAGTCCCTGGAAGACAAGGTGAGAGGGTATGCGATAAGCCTGCAATGTGGCCCATGTGTGAACCCAACCTTGACTTCCAGCCCTTGGTAAAGTTAAAGAAGTACTTCTGGTTAATTAGAAGGGCCCAGGTGAATAATAAAATAGGTCCTAATGAGCAGGCGCACTTTACAAATCAGACTTGTGCCACCCTGCAGTGTGCCAGCTGGTTGCTGAACATCACTATCGGCTGGACTTTATCCCAGAAAGTGGCTCCATGTCCAGACCGTGCAGAGTGAGTTGGGATTATTTTAGAATCTCTCTGGGGAGCACTGGCCTTACTGTTTCCAGGGAGGACCCAAAAATCTCCTATGCTAAGACCATATTAATCACCTCTTAATCAGCTTATAACTTGCCAGTTAAGTTCTGTTACAGCATGTCACTGGATTAAGTAAGAAACGAATTATAATAATTGTCTGTTAAAGCATACTGTTGGGTAATAAACTACAGCTGCCATACGGTAATTCATCCTTGATGTACTAAAAGTATCCCTCCTACTTAATTTTGTTTTGGGAAAGAGAACGCAGCAAGTAGGCCAATGAGAGGTGGCTATTTTGGAAAATCTACTAAACCTACAGGCAGGCTAAAAAAGCCGGGGTGGCTGTAGGCGTGAAGAACGCGGCGTCTCCCCGAGCCATCGCTGCAGAACAAAACTGAGCGTGCCTGACTTCTAACAAACCGAGCTCGCAGGGAAGAGAAGCGGGTGAGGCACTGAGGTGGAGCCCAGTGGAAGGGGACTTGCCCAGCACACACAGGCCCTGGGTTCAATCTCCAGTGCCGGGAGACAAGAAACAATAACATTTTTCAGTGGGAGAAAAGCTATCGCATATTTAATGAGGGCTTACTGTTCTGAGCACATTTCAAAGGTCAACAGAATGAAGCCGAAAATCTCTACTGTCTGGAATTGAAAGAAAGACCATTTATATTATCTCAAAAGATTCTAACATCTACAAGAAATAATTCATTTAAAAACATGTTCTTATGGGCCGGGGATGTAGCTCAGCGGTGCAGCGCCTGCCTGGAAAGCGCGAGGTCCTGAGGTGGATTCCCAGTACCACCCCCAAGACCCCAAAAAATCCTCCTGAGTAAGCTTAAGTGCCACATGCCTGTATTCCCAGCTTGCTACTCAGGAGGCTGAGGCAGGAGATCACACATTCAAGTCCACTGCAGACAACTGAGTGAGAACCCGTCTCGGCCTCCCCACTACTTGGCAGTACAGGCAAGTCAGTGCACCCGGCTAACTTTAAAAACAAAATTTTCAGTTCATTATTAGTGTGTGTCCACTCTCTTCTGAGAGGGAGTCTTGCAGCTTTGCTGGGCTGCTGTGGAGCTTGTGGGCTCACAAAGTCCTATCAGCCTCCTAGCAGCTGGGACCACAGGCCCCAGCCACCATGCCTAGCTAGGCTGTGTTAGTCTCACTTATTTGATGACAACTTCTGGATCAAGACTATAATCTATAGTTGGGCTACTGGCACACGCCTATAATTCCTGCACTCAGGAGGCTGAGGCAGGAGGATGACTGTGAGTTGAGGCCAGTCTGGGCTACAAAGTGAGCTCAAGGCCACCTGGAACTGCATAGTGAGACCCTGTCTCAAAAGATAAAAAATAAATAAATTAAAATCTATAGCCAGGCAAGGTGGCGCACGCCTGTAATCCCGGCACTCAGGAGGCTGAGGCAGGAGGATCGTTGCAAGTTCGAGACCAGCCTGGGCTACAAAGTGAGCTCAAGGCCAGCCTGAACTGCATAGCAAGACCCTGTCTCAAAAAGACAAAAAAACCCAAAAAAACCAAAAACAAAGACAAAAAAACCCTCTATAATAAGTTAGCACCAGGCCTTTTGGTTAAACACAATGCACTTTGTGTAGTGCTTCATAAAGTAGTTTTAGCATAGAAAAAGTGTTTTTTGTTTTTAAATGGAAGTTTCCAACAGTACACCAGGGAGTTCAAGTACAGTGATTTTCAATTCTGAAAAACATAATTAGGTTTACCAGTCACCCCACCTGAAGTTCATCTTATACAGCTAAATCAAACTGAAACTAATTCAGGGAAGAGCTTAGTTCCAATTTTAAGACACCAAGTTTATCAATGGTTACATCTTACTAGGCTCTGCTTGTTGGGACTTCTGCTTAGATCAGAATACAGCTCACCTTCAGGCTGGTGTGCGACCGTGGCTGACTCAGCTCCTGGAATTTCCACTGCTCCGATCCCGGGGTCTCACCACCTTTCTGAGTGTCCGGCGTAAGCAGCCCATCTCCGGCAGGCAATGGGAAAATCCCTAACGATATAGGGCGTTCTTTTCTGTTCGGAGAGGAGAGAAAAAATTAAGCATTTATTTTCATTTGTCATGACCATAAGTGACAAGCCTGGGCTATTACTGTTTTGGGACCATCACGTTCAATGACACTTGTCTGCCCGTCTGAGCACGCAGCCGCACCACGAAGAGGACAGCGCCTCTGGAGCTGCAGCGATCTCTAAGAGACTGAGAAAACCTCCTGAGTTACTGTGTCTTGTGCCCAGGAAGCAAGCGGTGGTGCGGTCTGGTCTCGGGCAGCGCTGCTGAGTTTCCCTCATGCTTGGGCTGGGTTAGCCACAGTGACACGAGGCCCCTCCCCAGGGACTGAGTCCTGCCCCTGCTCCCCGCTCCCAGATCCCCCACTAAGCCCCGGATGTCTCTGGCGCCTCTGCAGGGTACACCTTTTCTGCCTACCAAAAAAAAAACAAAAAACCAACAATGCATTGTTTGAGTCAAGGCTATTGACTAAATACTACTGAAAAGATTTTTATCCCATCTAGAGTAGGAAATTTGTATTTTCCTACAGAGTCCTGTATGAATTCCCTGCAGGCAGCATACATATGAGAAAACCATTGTTAGTTTTTTTCCCAAACAAGGGGCTCAAAAGACTTCATTTTAAAATACTGCTGATTTCCAATGTTTTGTGGGAAATTTCAAAGAACAAGAGTTATACTTTTATTAACAGAATTTCAACAAAAGAACACCTCCTTTGTTGATGAACAGAGGACTCCAAATGGAAGCACTGCAGAAAAGTGGAAAGCGGCCTGCTCCCAGGTCATCCTGGGTCATTAACTCCGACATGTGGACGCTGGGAAAGAAACAAGACTCTATAGGTTTGGCGGCCCCTGAATTCCTACCTCCACTGTTGAGAAAGTTGGGACAGAAGCAATGAAGCTATAGATAAAAGGGAAAAAAGCCTGCTAAATGAGACCCTTATGGCATAAGTTCATTTTTATACCAAGAAACTGAAGTCACTGCTGAAACCTGACCTGACTTAATGCAAAAGGTGTGCCCTTCCAGTCCTATCAAAAAGGATTAGTAAAACTGTCAGCACATTTTCTTAAAGAGGAAGGGACACAAAGGGGCCGAGAAGCTGCATTTTATTAAAGTTGCACGCACAAGGAAATAAACTTTTGAAACAGGAATTCCCGCATCACTTCTTCACACTGTAACACTTTTTCCTATTCAACTTGGGAGAAAAAGTCAAACACAGCTCATCAGCACAGTAAAAGAGTAAATTTTAAGGCGTGATCTCAGTTTTTGATTAAAAGCTACCAGAACAACCAAAGGACAAAAATCAGCTACTCCTTTTACATCAACTCTTCCCAAACACTGGTTAGCAACACACTTTCCAGCAGTCAAGAATGAAGGCGGTTTACGTTTGTGAGTCACACGCAGTGCGCGCTGTCCACCTGCACATTTTCAAAGGCAGAGAATTTGCCTTTTAAAAAAAAAAAAAAAAAAAACTTGCTCTTTCTTGAGAATAACTGACCCTTATGTTAAAGTATGTCTTTTTTTTTTTTTTTTTTTTTTTGGTTTTTCTCCAGTACCGGGAACCGAACTCACGACCTTGCGCTTGCCAGGCAGGCGCTTTGCCACTGAGCTAAATCCCCAGCCCCCATAAAGTATGTCTTTTCTGTTCTTTGATCTTAAAATGCCCTTTCTTTCATTCAATAATCCCAACAGTTGATGGTAGCTAGATTTTCCCACCCAGTACTAGGGCTTGATCCCAAGGCCTTCACACTCAGCTGTATCCACAACCCTTTTCATTTTTAAATTTTGATACAGTTTCACTAAATTGCTAAGTTGCCCAGACCAGACTCAAACCTGTGATCCTCCTGCCTCGGCATCCCAGGGTGCTGGGATTACAGGTGCATGCTACCGTAGCTCCTGGCTTCAATTCTTTTTTTCATATCTACAACTGACAAAATGAAAAGCTGTCAATTATGTCAACCTGATGTTTAGCCCCCAACCTGGGGGAACATATTTTGGGACTCCTAAGAGCTACTGTAAGTTGACCCTTATTTCTTCTCTAACATACCTTTACTGCCTTTAAGAAGTGACTGGGAACTTAATCAGCCCCAGTCTAATGGAAAGCTGACTACCCCAAAACACAGAGGGAGCTAGGAGCGAGCACAGACTCGTGTGAATCCGTCACTGCCACAAGAAATCAAAACACAAGCCAGCGGTTGGAATCTTCCTCCCATTCCAATGCCAACACTTCATATTCACATGGATCAAACACTGAAAAAGGTTCAAACTGCTGGGGAAAGGGTCTTCCATGGCTCCAGTTTTTACTGTCCGACCAAGTCTACAACCCGATACACAAGGAGAATCCCCACCTCCTCCCTTTGCTTGTCAGTCATTCAGAAACTGCTCTCTAGGAAAGGGACTGTCACAGACCAGCAGCTGCCAGGAGGCTCAGTACGGCCCTGGGCTGCACTGCTCCAGCTCTGGAAAGAGCATAGTCCTCCACACTGCTCTTCTTTTACGGATAAGTTACCTGAGAGTTGGACAGGGAGATGTGCGGATGCAAGGTCACTCGGTTCATACTGGGGTTCTGCGGGCACGCGTGCTTAGTGCTCTGTGTACTACACGCTCCCGTAAGACCCGGAGAAGGGGACCAAAGGAGGGGACACATACGGAGAAACAGCAAGGGGCATTTTAACCCCCTAAAGAGAAACACCTGCTATCCTTGCTTAGAAACAGCACTCTCTAAGAGAAAGCTATCACCAACAGAATCCTGGTTATCTCTTTAAATTGTTTCAGTTCTACATATCAGGGTTTTTTTGGTTCATTATTTAAAATGTTAGTTTACATGATTAAATAATTTTGCAAATATGTTTTTAAGAGAGATTTTTAGTTATACTCACATTTAATACAACTAATCAGTAAGACACAGGGCAATAAAAAAAGGTTGCATTTGTTGAACTCTCTCCATGCGACAGGTACTAAGCTATGTGATTCACTGGCAGTATCTCATTTAACCCGCCACAGGAAGTGGGATGACTTTTCCAAGTTTCAGAGCAGGCAAAGCAATGCCCAAAGATCTGTGAGAGTGACCGGCAGGGCCAGGATGAGAAGCTGGGGCTGCTAACTCCCGAGGCCCACCTTCTTCCCTTGGAGCTACCAACTTTTGGACAATTTAATCTTATATTGAAGAAAACTATGTTTATTCAATCAAATTAAGTGCAGCTTTTGTGTTGTGCAACTTTTAAAGTTTAAGTGTAAGGTATCTTATCAATACAGTAACTGCAGTTTTAACAGTTCTGCTAAAAATAGGACACTTACTAGTGACTGTGAAATTAATTTACCACGTATCTTACAATTGTAATTTAACACAAAATAAAAACCTTTCTCTCAGTTTTTAAAGCCACCCACAGGGGAAGTAGCCTCAGAGGAAGCAGCACAGGGAGCTGGCGCGAATCCAAAGGCCCAAGGGCCGCCAGCACGGGGCAGAGCACTCGCATCCAGGCCGCCTCTCACCTCTGCAGCAGCCTCGCACACACGGAGAGCCCCGCAGCAGTCCCTCACATTACTCTTATTTTTATATTCAAGGGATTCTTTAACAGTTACAAGTCCAATCCAGTTATAAGATTGTTCTGATTTTTAGAAATCAGGAACAAAAATAAATGACCAAGTATCTACTTTTAGACCACAGATGAAATTGAATTTCTGGGCCCTAAATTAAAATTGAATCTGATCTGGCCTGTGAATTAAAAAGGAACATACCGAGGGAGCTATTTTAATTTTTAACTTAGGTCTAAGTCCACAGTTAGAATTCAATTATTTTTGGGATCGTGTAAATAATAAATAAAAACTGCACATTATAAACCCTCATTTAAAACAAGCACAAAGCAGAAATCTGAACAAATCAGCTGCCCTGATGAGTTAAAAACAAAGATCCCAAACCTGCAGCCGCTGCGATGGATGTGGAGGCCGCTCTTGGGGCGGCAGCGGCGCCCGCCGGCAGCAGGCCATCTGGGATGAGTGACCACCCCCACAACAGGCAGGGACATTTGTCACCCAGGACTACAAAGCAAAGAATGGGCGACCTCTGACAAACAATGGTGAATAGGCTTTGTAAAGCTTTCACAACTCCAATGTGTAAAGAATGGGGTAACACAGTCCTAGCTCTGAAGTTTAACTCTTTTTACCTTAAAATAATTTCCCTTAAGGAGGAAAATACTGAAATCGTCAATTCCCAAGAGGTGTTATTAAAAATCATAAAAGTGATAGCAAAACCTGCATCAGCCAAGGAAAATTAGAACAAAAGAAACCTAGGGCTGTGTCTGCGCGTCTGCAGGACCCAGCCAAGTGATCTGCCCCTCCGTGTCCGGAAGCTACCCCTGGGGGTATGAACTCTCCTCGGCATCCTGTGTGACACCAGACCACACTGACCTTGTACTTGGGTGTAAACACGCCAGCAAAATCCTCTGCTTCTGCCCGTAGTTTCCAAATACAAAGCAGGCTTCCTACAAAGCAGGCTTCCTAAGTGGTGGCCTATAAATTACTATAAATGCGAACAGGCATCCTAGCCTCAGGCCATTTTCCATTGTTTCAAGCTGCGCCAGAAATGGTTACAAAGCAGACCCGGGGAGCCAGAACTGTAAGAAAATCCAGTAAGCACGGGCTTCCAAGGGAGACTGGAGTACCTGAGTATCCTTGGTAGGTTCTGCGTCAGAGCCGGCACCCCGGTAGAAATAGAAAAGTGCACAAGCAGCAAAACGGAGAGAGACACTAGGATAGCAGAATTAATGACCACCGCCCCGCCAACAAAGCCAAACACAAACAGCAGCATGCATCCAGGACTCATGGCGCTGCGCTGGCATGGTGGAACGCCGGAACCAGGAGGCCTACACCGCGGCCAAGGGGGGATCTTTGTAGTGAGGATCTGTCATTCAGCGGCTGCCACAAAAACAATGCCATCAGCAGCAGCTTTCCACTCCATCCTGCAGCGGTCCCGGGCGGTGACGTCATCCCGCTCTGCCCGCCTCGGAGCCCAGAGCGGCTGCTCCCAGCGTTTGTGCAGCGGCGGCCGCGCCGCCAGCCTATTAACTGCGCTCCTCGCCACTACAAGTCCGGGAGGAGCTCACTGGCCCAGGCCGCGATCTACATAATTTATTCACACTCCTACATCAAACAGATGGCTGGCTAACCCTTTCAAACATGCCTCTCTGGAACAAAAAGGACCAATTATACAGGCGCTAGGAAGAATTCTCAGCATTCCCACAAATTAGATTCCAAACCCAGTGTAATCTCCATCAACTATAAAAAAAAATCCAAATACCGGAATATGCTGCTTATACAGCACAGTTCTCAGAGTTTACCTTTTCAATAGGGAAGGCTGTTTCTATTCTCTCCTATAGCATTCCAACCACAACGGAAGGCTTTTAGAATCAGCTTAACAATTGTTCCGGGATTAAAGAACAGAAAAAAATAGCAGAACAGATTATTTATTTCGTTTTTTCTCAAGGCAAAATGTGTAACAAGGCTTACCTAGTCCTACTGTGGGCTGTGGGCTCTAGTTGATCACCCCCTGAGAGTTGATGAAGTTTTGTTCTTTCTAAGTGCTCCATATAATTATGGATCATCTATTTTAAGAAAGAAAAAAATCACAAAGTTTAAGACTACTACCTGGAACAAAAACACATTATTATTACACAGGAAATAATATTGTACAATTTTCTTCTTTACCAGGTTACCCAATTCCATGTAAAAGAATATTAAGGACTGAAAAATTTTCATGGCAACAGAATATAGAAATGGTTACATTTAATATGCTAGTGTCTGTAAGAGTAGCCAATAGCTTATTTAGCATGGCAAAAACTTTTTAAAATATGTAATACTACTAAATGAAACACAGGGGCTGGGGATTTAACTCAGCGGCACCACGCCTGCCTGGCAAGCGCAAGGTTGTGAGTTCAATTCCCGGTACCAGAAAAAAAAAAGAAACAATACTGACACTTAAGTTAGTATACCCACCTTGGGAGGAGGTAATAAAAGACTGCTCATTAGAAATAATAGATAACATCTGAGAACTCTAGTCTTTAAAATGGGAAAAAAATGAATGTGAAACTTGAGAAGAAGCCACACTTTCCTTCATCTTTTCCATGTCAGATGAACAAAGATCATTTTCAATTTAATTAACACCAAAATGTTCACTATTTCTGTAGGTTTAACTGAAAAAATGCTAACATATGTTCTCCTTTATGACTTTACTGGTATCGGTCAGTGTGATCACGTACAGGAACAATAGTAACAGGTACAAATGAAGAAAAGTCACAGCACTAACTGTGAGTCTCAGGAACAATGACAGAGAAGCAGAGTAAGGAGGTGAAGACTGAAGAATATCAAATACTGTTAAGAAATCCTTTTTTTTGTTTTTTTTCTGTTAAGAAATTCTAAGGCCCTACTCTTGATCATCTAAAGTTTCACATTTGAGAATGCTAAATCCAGAATCAACACACATAAAATGGCCAGAAATTTCAATTTTCATTAAAAAAGCCTTCATTTGAGATGCTAACATGATATACAACAAAATGAATTTAAAAAAAAAAAAAAAAACAAGAAATGGTATGTTAGTATTTTAAACTCAGGAAACAGTAGAAGGCAAGAAAAGCTGATGTCTTTCTAGGAAATACCACTTGAATCTTAACACTGGAGCACAGAACAGCTCTGGAAGCTATCCAGCTTTAGCTCTATTAAGAAACGTTTCAACCTAACTAAAAATGCAACGTAGCATACTATATAACAATACAGATGAAATTCTAAACAAATTTTTAAGTTTTATTTTCAAACAGCATGCTTTTGTTGTGAAAATTCTACTTGGCATGTACAAAAATTAAGAGATGTAGACTAACTTTAAGGTGTTTATTATTAAACTAATCAACTCTCATGCATGAAATATAACAAGTACTCTGTCAAATCAAATCAAATCAATTAGACTATTCATCAATTAAGACTAGTCTAAACAAGAAATGTTGGGCCGGGCGTGGTGGCGCATGCCTGTAATCCCAGCACTCAGGAGGCTGAGGCAGAAGGATTGCTCCGAGTTTGACACCAGCCTGGGCTACAAAGTGAGCTCAAGGCTAGCCTGAACTGCATAGTGAGATCCTGTCTCAAAAAGACAAAAAAAAAAAAAAACAACAAGAAATGTTATCAGTAAGGAAAAATGGATATAGCATTGCATGAATATAGCATGTAAAAGCATTTTAAAATCTGTTTGGTTTGGTCTGGTTTTGGTTTTGGTTGTTTTTGAGACAGCATCTCACTACGTATTCCAGGCTGCCCACAGTCTCCTGACTGGTAGGACTACGGTGCGCTCTATCACACCTGGCTCACATTTTTTAATCTTAAATTTACACATTTTTATTGTAAATTATAGATTTTTCTCTTTACTACAATTTTCAGAAAAAATTCACAGAAACACAGTCTTTTTGGTATTTGTGTCAGCAATAATGAGTTATCTTCTTGTATCAGGAAGAAATTTTAGGGAAAAAAATTTAAACTGAGACTAATATAACAAAGTGATTGTTGGGTCTACTGAATGCTCATTTAAACTTTCCAAAGAGTTTAGAAAGCCTAAATAAAATTTCTTACATACTGGGCAGTATCATATAGAACTGATTTGTCCAAATGAAGAATCTATGTTTCTTTAAAATATTTCAGGTGAATAAACTAAAACTAGACTGATTTTCTAGTAATTAATTTATTTAAGAAAGAAAAATAATTATAAACAAAATGCAAAAACAGAATCAGTTCTCTCCCAGATAGCTCATTCTAGATTCTCTATTATCTTAAACGCTTGATAGATTTAAAATTCTGAAATTGTTGAATAAAACCACTTCAAATGACTGATTAAGGTGGGGCGTGTGGTGCACACCTGCGATCCCAGCAAATGCCTGATCAAGTAATGCAAATACGGTACTCCAAGGCCCCAGGGTGATCCTAGCAAGGGAACTGCACACCTAACAACACCAGCTCAGGCAGAAGAGTGGGACCGAGGGCAGCTACTGTTCAAGCACCAGTTGGGCGCATCTGAGCCTCACAGTGTCGCAGCGTGGTAGGTCAGCTCCAGCTCACGTTACAATAATGCAACCAAGCAAGGTGAGGAGCTCAGTGCAAGGCACCCACGCGCCGCCCAGCATTAGCTCTGGGGCCGAGCGCTATGCATCCCGGCCATGCCGCCGTGCCCTTCCGGCCCTTCTCAGGGCTGGCAATGTGCTCATTGTCCTTTCTGCCTCACACCCACCAGAACACCCCACAGCCAAAGGCATTTCCTGACATCTAACATAAAATAATGCACACTACATTCCAGGAAGGTTCAAAAAAGCAGAGAAAGTGTGAACTGTACATAAAATTTAAATTCTAATAATAGAGCTCCATAGTGTAGCTCCGGTTTTGAAAGGAAAAAAAACTGAGGAGGCCAGGCAGGACCAGTGGCACCAGACAGAAAAGCAATTCTCCATTTTCTCTGGTACACAAATCAATTCACATATATTCAGGACTCGGGGCAGCAACAGTTATTGTCACTAAGAAGGTTCCCAGGGAAACTGAGGAAGGAGGGCCTCACGTTTGAGGGCACCCTGGGCAACTGAGCAAGACCCTGTCTCAAAGCTAAGAAGGGGCAGGGATGCAGGGACGCAGCTGAGTGTGGAGCACTCGCCCAGCATGCACCTGCCTCGCCAGGACGGGGCAGGGATGCGCAGGATTCCAAGCGCGCCATCTGCAAAACCCTGGCTGGGGCAGATCCGAAAGCCCCTTCTGAAGACCCCCGTGTCCCAGCACGGCTGACAGGCCACTCCGGCTAGCAGCGCAAAGCTTGGAGGACCAGGGGAATGCGGGGTCTTAATTATGTAAACTTGGAGTCTCAGCCCCGAGTTCAATGAGCAAGTCCACAAAGCCACTGACCTGAACGTCACCGCCATGCTGTACAGCAAAGAGGCACAGAGAAATGTTGAGTGCATCTAGCCCGAAACCTAAAGGCTCCCTGACAGTTCAGGCAGTGCAGCAGCTTGGACCTGGCTGTGCATCCGGCCCCTAAGGAGCACGGGCTTTGGCGGAGATCACTTCAGCCTCTTTCTGAACACTGCAACCTGTGGAATGGGTGTGTGTGTGGGGCAGGGTGACAGCTCAGGCAAATGAGGAAACGGGAGTACATGCAACGCTCCCTGCAGCGCAGTCCCTCAGGACAGCACGGGCTTCTTCTTGGGGTGACCGAGGGCCGACAACGCATGTGGCCCTACAGTTTCGTAACCAGGGGCCTTTGTGTTTCCTCTGCTACTCGATATAAGGTGCATCTTGTTTCAAGTACATTCAGCAACGTGCATGAAATTTTGATTAAAGAAAAGTTATTCACGTAAGATCGCTGGCTTCCCTCAAGCAGCCAACAATGTAGTTGACAAAAGTATTATTTAAATAAGTACCTGGGCCTGAGGTATTACCTTCTTTGCAGGTAACAAGGCGCTATGGCTAAGCCTTCAGACGCCCTGTCCCTCTTTCCCATGCTCCCCTCTAAAGGGCACTTAGTTCTGGAAGGGACGGGGATTTCGAACTGCCGACCAGGTAGGTGGCTGCTCTGTACACACAAAAAGCGGGGGGCTGCAGTGCATATGCCAGACTTCAACCTTGAAGCAGCCAGGTCTGTGCTACAAAACCCTTTCCCAAGGGGAAAGGAAATGAAGGGAAGGAGCACCCGGAACAGAGGCAGAGGTGCTGGGGAGGAGGTGTCCACCCTCTGGAAAGAGCCAGCAAAGCGGGGGGAGCCGCCTGGGTGACTGCGCAGACCCACTCCTGACTCAGTAATCAGGGTTTTCCAGAGAACTTTTTATCCTCCTGGACTACTCTTTCCTGAAGGTATAAAAATAGAAAAAAACATTCTATCTTCTCTTTTGAAGTTAAATTCACATTTTGTTCTGTAGAAATATGTCTTATATGATATGACATATCATATAAGATATGAGGAGGCTGAGGCAGAGAAT